CCGGCACTGTGAACGCGGGACCACAGAGCTCACAGCGGCTCAGAAGGCGCTGAAGCGAGGCCTGAGCAGGGCCGGGCGGTGTCTGTCGGGCACCTGGGTGGCACAGGCTGGAGGAGGGGCACCGGGGAGTCCCAGGGATGCCCCATGAGGGAGATGACCACAGGCCTGACCTGCGGGAGCGACAAGGCTCCCGGCGTGGCCTCACGGGCTCTGTGTTGTCACAGCTGCTCACCAAAGACGCGAAGCAGAGGCTGGGCTGTCAGGAGGAGGGGGCCGCGGAGGTCAAGAGACACCCCTTCTTCAGGAACATGAACTTCAAGCGCTTGGAAGCCGGGATGTTGGACCCGCCCTTCATTCCAGATGTGAGTAGCCCCCCCAGCCCAGACAGAGCCTGTGCCCTGTTCCCAGCCTGGCACTCACCGAATGTCGGTTCCGGGCCTCGATCCCGGGGCCGAGGAGACCCGTGGGCAGGCGGCGGCCTCTGCCCTCCGGTGACAGACATGTCACCAGGGCTGGGGGCCCTGCATCCATCCTGGAGTCGCCTCCTCCATGAAGTCCTCATCCTCAGACCTCAGGCCCCAGAGCCCCTGGGAGGCTCAGTCCCAGCTTTGAGTTCCTGGAGGGAAGGCCGGCCTGAGTCATCTCTGTGGGTCTCAGCAGAGAGCAGCCCCCAGTGCGTGGCGGGGGGAGTGAGATAAAGATATTACCGCCAGCTCACGCATGCTTACAGCCCAGGCACAGGTGCTCCCATAGCCCGGCCTGCAGGTGGGGACACAGGCCTATGGGACATGGGACTTTTCCAAAATTCCTAAGCACCAGCGCTGGGAGCCAGCCCGGCCCGCTGGCTGCAGAGCCTGGGTGCCCAGCCCCTTGGTGCCCCGTAATGTGAGAGGGGGTTGGGAGGGCCCCCCCGGGAGGCGTCCGTGGCTGCGTGTTCCTCGGGCCTGGCCCTGGGAACCAGCATTCGCTCTCTATGGCAGGTGGCCCAGAGCCCCAAACAGAAAGGACTTTGGAAACAGTTTCCCCGTCCCAGTCCTGGGCCCTTTGGGGAACAAAGACTGTGTGATGGAGGAGTGGGCTGCAGGGCGCTGAGCAGGGTGAACTCAGGGATGGGGTGACCGGCATGTGAGGCCTGAGGGCAGCAGGGCCCTGGACACTCTGAGCTCCAGGTTCCCGGTGGGGGTGGGGGGCTCAGGCAGACGCCCCCTGCTTCCCCCATCAAAGCCCCAGGCCTGGCTGGGGACGGTGGCGCCAGGGCGGGGCCCGTGTGACCGCTCGCTTGCTCTGCCCCAGCCCCGGGCCGTGTACTGTAAGGACGTGCTGGACATTGAGCAGTTCTCCACCGTGAAGGGCGTCAACCTGGACCACACGGACGACGACTTCTACTCCAAGTTCTCCACAGGCTCCGTGCCCATCCCCTGGCAGAACGAGGTCAGCGCTGGGCGGCCGCCTCG